GCCTTCCTGGAAGTCCCCGTCTTGACGGTAAAATATCCTAAAACACTTTATCTTCTTTATCTGCTCGATTGCAAGACCTCTAGCCAAATACTTGGCGTGGCAATTTCAAGCAAATGAAATATAATCTTTGTTCCCTCGACTGGGCATCCACACTGTCCGACAATGTTGAAGAAGTTTGGGAACAATTCAAATAGGTAGTCCACAACCTCATCTCTAGCGGTTGTCCAATCACACGCGGAAGACTAACAAACAGACCTCGCTGGTTGACTCTATCCTTAAAAACAAGAAGAGAAAACTGCGAAAAAGGTTTTTTGTTGATAGGACGCCTGAATCCCTCAACATTTACAAGTTACAGAGGAACCGGGTCAAAAGTCTCATCATCACAGATCGGTAGATCTTCGAACAGGGACTGTTAAACCGTGCCACAGTTAATCCCAAAGTCCTTTACAGTTATATAAGGCAAAGCACACGGAACAAGGATCCTATCCCACTATTGCGAACTGCAGAAGGTGCCGAAATCTCAGAGGACAAAGATAAGGCTAACCATCGCTCTCAGTTCATCCGGTCTGTCGTGACGACTTAACCCGACTTTTTTCCCGCCACTTATGAAAAAATGCTATGCCTTTTATTAACACAGACCTTTTCACCGAAATAACTAAGACGGTCTTTAAACTTGAAAGAATCGACCTCCCCAGGCCCCGAGGCAAGCCCGGAAAAGTTTGAGAAGAAGCTAGCTTCTGAAATGGCCAAGCCATACTATTCTAGGCGTCATTTGCCTAGCCTCTGACTGGAAGACCGCAACGAGCATTCCGCTATTCAAGAGCAGAAGCCGAGCGTCTACAAATAATTAAAGGTCGCTGAATCTTACCTCCATTTATTACAAAGCCATGGAAAAAAATCACTAAGAGGGCGTTCATGCAGTTCCTCGAACAGAATCACCTCTTCTCTGATGCCCAACACGGCTTTCGTAGGTCCTGTTTTACGAGCCTGCTCTTTTCACTTGAATGCTGGACCAAAGCAAGTGACGAAGGCAAAATGGTGCATGCCATCTACATTGACTTCAAAATGGCTTTCGACAGCGTCCCTCACCGACGCCTCTTGCAAAACCTGCGCAGCGCAGGAGTTGGCAGGAACCTCTTCTTATGGATCCAAAACTGCTTTGATCGGACGGTCTCAAAGAGTAAAGGTCGGGCGCCAGCAGTCCTCGGGGGGGTACCTATGGTGAGTGGCGTCCGACAGGGTTCAGTTTTAGGTCCCACATCGTTCCTTGTTTTCGTCAAAGACTGTGTCAGGGGCCTAGACTGTGATGTCACCCTGTTTATTGACGACATACGATTGTGGAAAGTTGTCAAAAATACAGCAGATAAAAACTATCCACAAGCTAACTTGAACAAATTGGAGGACTGATCAAAACATTGGCTTACGCCCTTCAACGTTAGTAAATGCAACTTTCTTAAAATCGGCAATTGTAGAGCAACCAGCCAGAATGTTTATTCCTCAAACGATACACCGCTGCAACAAGTTGATATTCACGAGGAACTGAGTGTGTGGATTAATTCCTCCCTCAAACCAACGCTGAACTGCACGAAGGCGGCGCAGTCAGCCAGATCCATGTTGCAACCAAATAGGCGAGCCCCATGGGATTTAAGGAAGAAAGATTTTCAAAGATATTTCGAAGCTTCGTTCGGCCGTACCTGGAATTCGCTATATTGGCATGGAAACCCTGTACTAATGTTATTTTACCGACAACACAGACCATTTCACGAAGCTTTTCGGCCTATTTGGGTCTTAGAGAAGGTCCAGAGGCGAACAACAAAAATGGTCAAGGGTCTGGGAACACTGCCCTATGAAAGCAGACTGTCAGCCCTCAGGTTATTTCGTCTTTCCTACAGGCAACCACGAGGGGATCTCATATGAACCTTCCGTGGTATGAATGGCCTGGATTGTTGTGTTTTGTGCCCGTTGATCTTTTTACCCAAGCTAACACGCCCACTATGCGCGTTCATCACACTAAAACTACGCCCCGGCAGGACAAGGATCAATGCACGCAAAATTTTATTCAGTAACACTGTGGTTGCAGCGAGGAATGCTCTTCCCGAAGATGTTGGTTTCTCCACCTGTGTGAACACATGTAAGAGCCAACTGGACATGCACCAAACACTTCATTCACAAGCGACAATCTGACCCAAGGAGGAGATTATTACACCTACTACGTATACTACTTATGCTAAACAAGTAGTCATATTTTATTACTATTTCGATATTATGAGGTTTTCTCTCTTCGCTTGCATGTAATGAGATTATTTTTTTTTCTTTTTTTATTTTGTGCCCATGCATTTCTAGCCATCTTTTTACCAATTGGGAACTCAAAGGCGTTCGCCCATCTTTCCCTCAATAAACTGATACTGGTAGTACCAGCGGGTGTTGACTAGGCAATCTGTCTGTCTGATCACTCAAATTATTATTATTATCATTAAGGCAGTATTGTTGTCGTCAGTGATGGCTGCTGCTTACCATCTCAGAGTTGTCATTAGGCGGGGTGACGTCAGGCGAGAAGAGCGAACGTAGAAAGCTGCTGTAGATGTTATCCTCTGGATCAGTCGGGAAGGACTCATCCATACCCGGTATCGATTTCTGGGGTGGTAACGGCTTTTCATAAATGCATACGGTCTCAGTCTGAAGCGGCCTGTCTACGTCCTCTTTGTTTGGGGTCTCATCATCGCGGCAGACAGTCTCATCCGCTGCGCCTTTTTCCTTATTGTCACCGTCTTGCAAGAGTGGATCAAAAGTCTCAACCTCTTCTCGGATCCAAATCGGTGTGTCCAAAAGGTCCTCATTAGTTGATGCCTTGCCCTAGCGAACAAATGAATAAAACGATAAGTTATTTTTTAACACATTACTCCGCTCAAGGGACAAGACGAAATGAGATCTACTGAAATACGAAATCCGCATGTGTTTGGCTTCTATGCAAAAATACAATCAGAAAAAGGGAGCAATACAGATCAGTCGTAAAAAATGCTGAACCCGAATACGTTAGGACACACTTCAAGAACCAGTGCAACGCATCTGCTTCCGGATACCTTCTCGATTATAAACTGCTAGTGCTACTCGTTTGTAGAATGCACATTTCCATGGTTATCCCACAGTAGTTGATTGTCTTCGACGAAAATGTTCATTGAAATCTGGGGTCTGGCCCTTAAAAGTCATGTT